CTATTGATGTTTGATAAGCACCAGTTTCCTGTTAGCCTCGTTAATCACATCTTCAGATGCTGCATCACTACAAGCGGCAGCTAGCTTCGCAAAGGCATAGAGATGCTGGAACAATCACAATTCCACTATGTAGCGGACACCTTGTCACAGCCTCGAAATATTACATAAGGAAAGAATACATCGAAATAAAACGCACCCTCTGTCGCTTCACATCAGAATTCTCACGATCAGCCAAGCTCAATAAGCTCTGAGAAGCCTGAAAATGAGCTTGTTAGTGCTGGTACAGTGTACAGTAAGGTGACGGACACCGCGCTCATGTTACGAACCACAGGGTGCAAAGTATCAAGACTATGAAGAAAACAGCAGAACGAACACCTTCAAGCCCAAAAATAGGTCCCACCTTTGAAATCGTACGAGTTAACCCGCGCTCGGACGAGCTTTCCAGAATGCACTTCGAGTGTATACTCACTTTATAGAATTGTTTCCGTTACTCTTATCTGTTTCCGGTTGTTGAGTTTTTTATTCCAACTATACTAATGAACTGTTGCCAGCTGCCATGACTTATTGCAATGCAAGTATCCGATTTCTGCGCGATCGCAGCACTAAACAGAAGAGGGGCAACTCTTCAACTGCACGGTCGGCAATAGGTAGCGGAACTCCAGAAATGAGGCTGAAGAGTAGTAACACCTGGGTGTTGCTTGAGACTCCGCTGCGCTATTCTCACGTTTCTACACTCGCGCCGATACCAAATTCCACAATGAACGCACAGTCCGAGGTAAAAACATCCAGAAGTGAGAGCATTTCGCTGTGGTCAAGAGTAGAGCTGGCAGTGCAGCAACACGGGTGGAGTCCGAAACGGCACCCGTACCACCACCCTTCCACAGTCGTCCCGTGTACTTTTGAGCGGAGGAAGTGGTACGCTACTGCAGCTGTGGATCCATTTACCACGCAAATGGCAAGGATCAGGATCTACGAAAATACTGTAAAGTTTGCCTTCAAGTTACAAGGAGTGGCTGTCTAGCACACTGAGAACGTTGCGATTATGAGATATTGACGTCTTTGTTAACCGTTGTTTTAAAGGCACGTTCCGCAATAAACTAAGGCTAGAACCTCATAAACGTGCATGATGATCAAGCAGGCAACAGTAGAGGATATGCTGCTTTTAAAAGTTGAAAAACAGCAAGCAGAACGCACGGCGCTCATGTTTTAGGCCCATTGGCGCCCGATAGGCCCATGCCGGCCTCCGGTGACCGTGTAGTTTTGATATTGCCATTGCGCTCTCTCGCCCGTCATTTCTGGCTTTACTCGTCTCTTTTATCAGGTGTATCGCCGCCTTTCGCATATATACAATTGCACCTTGACGCACCTACTGCTCGTCCGGCTGATTCATGTATCAGTGAAATAAGAGGCTATTGGGGCGCTTTTTTCGTCGTTCCTTTCTATTCAAAATAATCAACAATCAACATGCAAATCTATTTTTTGAACTGCTTATTACCTTATTGAAGTATTCGGTCCCTGGGGAATTGCCTTTAAATCGGTAAGTCCAATCCAGGTGGGGAGTGCGCCAATGAACGAACGCACCGATTCATCTAACGGCGCAATGTCTGGGAAGTCTTCCCTAACTTAACTGACAACCGCTGACGAAAGCCTCCTACTTACTTGGCACGAAACGGCATGGCAGGCATGCATTAAAGCTGTGGTTGTGTCCTGCATAGAGCGGGATTTGCAGTGATAACCCGCACTAACCCCCAATCCAATGTCAACTTCAAGACCAATCTCTCTGCCGAGACTCGCTTAGTCCTTCTGCCAAGCAGCACGCAACGGGTCCATGTTGCTGGCGGAAGGAATACGAGTTTATTTACTTGTTTTCCAATGAAATACTCAACAAACTTTGTCAAACTGTTTGTTTTGAAGTTCTCGTCGTCCAAAATTCGTATGCCTTCGCTATGAAGCATAGAGAATCGATCGAACAACGGCTTCTCCTTTTCGCCTCCAGTTGAGCAGTTCTGAAATCTAAACGGACCAGTGTAGTAGAACTTGTTTTGCTAGGAATTTCCTTTGCGTTTGAAGCACTTCAAAAAGTCCAAACGATCTCACTTTTTTTCTGCTTTAAGTATCGGCAGAGATACATATCAAACTCGTCAGCAGCAAACCGTTGTTTATAGGCATCGAGCTTGGCTCGTCGTTCTTTGTCGTCCATGTCAAGGCATACTTTTACCAGAACTTTGAAATCCTAGCAAACGAAATAGATTAGAGAATTATCAGTGCGTTTCCCACAATATGGACGAGTAGAACAGATGGACTGGGAATCACAGAAGGTACCTTGAACTTTTCCGCCAATTCCACTGCAACTTCACATTCTTCAAGATTATAAAGAGAAATTATGATATCATGTCCATCAATTGGTTTATTGCATTCGCTCAGATGGAACATAGCCAATCTACAAAACTGCATTACAAATGATGGTACAAATAGAATCAATTTTAGAGGTATGAGGAGCCTGGAAGGATGATAAAAAAGAAAAAACTCTTCGAAGTTGATCGATTCCTTCTTGAAGTATGGGATGCACTCTACTTCCATTCAGTATCGTGATGGCTTAGTGAGTGCGATGCGATATATGACTTGCGGGCCTAAGAGGTGTTCAAATCTGTGTTCTTACCCAGAAGAATCTGCTAGCAATTTAGTGCCTGAAGAGGACAGAAGGCTTGGTTGACGTAGGCGGGAGCCGATTCGGGATTCGACCCCTGTACCGCGCGCGTGGTAAGAGTGCCTCTTGCCATTGCCAATTCCAAGGATATAAGCAGTAAACCATGTTTAGGAAGAGTGAGTCACCATCTGTTCTGTAATAGTGTCTCACTCCAAATTTTGTTCAACGCTAGCCTTTTAACAGACCGCGCTATTTCCTACTTTGCCTGACTATCAGACTTAGCGCTTGCGCGGTCGGCGACTATGCGAAGTGGTTTATAGGCCTGGTAATTTGTAGCGCTGCATTTGTAAACATTCTGAATAGTTCTTCACCATTAGAAGGTACTTCTCAGTGAAATGAATGATTGTAAAGACGTTCCGGGGGATTTTCTCGAAAAATCATCAAGTTTAAAATTAAAATTCTGAGAACATTTAGCTCCATTAGCTATGTCACCTATGAGTATCCGTTTCAAGATGTATCAAACAGAAGAACACCCCCCCCCCCCCCCTGAAAGTCAGTACCGAATAACATAATTGATAGAGTAATTTTTCTTCAGAAAGGTGGCAAGGTTGCGGCTGATCCATTTTCATGTCAACAATATTTTTGCATGGAAATGTTCGAGTTAGAGTCGTTCTGTGCCATGCGATGGTACCGTTCACTGGCCACTCAGCATTATTTGGAAATGATATAAGAATTTCTTTGAGTGTAGGTTAGGTCCTGCTGGCCAGATGCGAGGAATATCACTGTTATCACTTTCGATACTCAAAAGTACGTAACGGATAACGCGGATTCCTTCGCCACGAGATCCAGGTCCAGCCCACTCGCCAAGCAAAAGTCTACCCTAATTTTCAAAGGTGTCCTGGTACTGAGGCCGGTCCGCTACTAGCTTTCTCCATTCTAACGGTGAGGGAGGTGATAAGGAGAAAGAACTATTATCAACAGATGGGAACTCGTTCGGCACGCTCTTTCTAGGCCTTATGCACGTACAACCACTGCTCAGCATGATATTCCATGTGGGGCATTTCGGGCAGGGGAGAGGGTTTTTATCTTTTCTTCCCTTTCTGTTATTCGCCATCTTGACTCATCACTTTTGAATGCAGGATGTGCCTTCAAAGCTGAACATGCATGGCAAACTCACCACTGCAAAGTACGCATCAGAAACGGTTCCAGTTGTCCACTGTGCGTCCGATCGTGCACCGATCTGTCTTGCAGAGGTCCTTCAGAAATAAAAAAAGCATAACATAAATGATGTTTTCCAAAGAACAAGGTTGGTTTTAGAGGTACAAAAATTAAGAGAGTATGCAAAAACGTCTAACCTTCTATACATCTCAATAGCGTCTGCATAAGTAAGCATCACATCAGCACAGAGATGCACAAGCATACATTTTGCTGTTTTACTGGTAGCCCGTTTCATCAATTCGCGCATCGTTTCTACACAAGCCGCCGGCAGTTGGTGAATTGCGGAGAGCTAAATGAGCGATTTCAGAGCGCAAGTCGGCGTTTGGGGGGGGGGGGTGGATTTTGCACTGCGGCTGCTTCGCTCGTTTCCAATGCAAGTCTCACTCTGGTGAAATCTGTGAACTTTTGTAAAGCTGGAGCAGGTATTTAGGGCGTCCACGGTAGTTCACCGCTTTATAACAGTTGACAAGAACTTTGTAAAGGAGTTGACAGGAGGTCCCTACAGAACTTTGTCTGGTGTCCTTTCTTAGGTTCACAAGATTGCATAGGTCTCCGCTTGATGGCTTGACACGTCGATGGGAAGTTGCGGAAGTGCAAAATACCCCCTCTACCCTTATCATCAAACTGTGCCGACTTCAGTATCCTCTTCAATCGAACGACTACCAAGAATGTTCAACTGAGAAAAATTTAAAGATGGTATCCAAAACGGCTGCCACTCACTGT